ACCACCGCAAAGGTAACACAATTGCTTGCTGCAGTGCTTGTCCCACCTGTGATGAAGACCCACGGTGGTAGAGAAGAAGTCTGCAGTATCGTTCTTGCTCAGGCAACATTAGTTCATGATTTTAGGGCTAGGGTTTCCAAGAATATATGCTTTCTGCTAACAATTAGGTCTGTCCACAGGCACAGCCTTACAAGGGTGAGGCTGAGTGCCAAATTGAGTAAGAGTGGATTAAACAAACCCCAAACCAAGAGCTGTCATAGTTACGCGCTGTAGCAATACTGGCCTACTGACATGGGGCCGTGCCGACCTCACGCCTCCAGGTTGTGAGGGAGGGACATGTTACTCGGATGCTAGGTGGGAGATGTACATTTGGTAACAGGCTTCCCCATCCTGATGAACAGTCCTCACATGTCCCCACTTTCCTCTTAGTGGATCACACGTGAAAGAACACAAAGCTCTTAATTTAGGCAGCTTGCTTATATTTTGTATTGCACTCCAAATGAGACCAATTTCACTTTTGTTTTAAGGGCCTTCACTGGCTGGCTTTCTCCAGCAGCAGGATGGTGTCACGGGGTGCCAGCTGTGAGCCCACACACAAAGTGACATTTTTACATGTGCACTTTCACAGAAGGAAGAAAAGAAATGCAAAGGTTCTAGTTCACATTAGATTTGTACCCTTTCATGTTTCCTCCTTTCACGGAGGGCTTTACTTCTTGAAACTTGAAAAACCAAATTGCGAACAGGTGAGTCGGGACTATCAGATCATCAACAATAATGGCCTGCTAAAACACAAGCCATTTTGTTTCACCAGCTGACCTCTGTATTAAACCTCTATCCTGCGTTAGACTAATAAAAAAAAATGAAATATCCACCACTCACATACCTAGTGCTCATTTTTTGTAAGCTCAAACATGTGCTCTTGCCCCTTAAGAGTCACATGGCTGTAGCACTACACAGGCATGCATACTATGCACAGATTTCTAAATTACACATGCATGCATAATAGTTAGTTAAATGATCCCCTGTGGTTTCAGTGGTCTGTAATTACATTGCGTCTCCCCTTATATTTACTCTCAGGAAAACTATCAACAGTTATTAAAGGGAGTATCATACAGGGAGAAGAGGCACTGGCAATAAGATTATATCTTTGGGTGCCCCTTGCACAAGAGGCGCATGACAGCAAGACAAGAGAAGACATTTTGGAGCTAATAGAGAGTCATGATGTAAGAACCGTTGGTGTAGAGGAAGATGAGCAATGAAGTTCAAGATCTAGGACCGAACTCAGGAAAACCAGGGGCCAGTATCTACCACTGCCCCAGACCTCGGGTGTCTCTGGACATATGCTTGCTCTCTCTGCATCTCAGTGCCTTATCTGCAAGTGCGGATAAAGCCACTTCCTTAGCTTACAGCCTAAATAAGCAAGACGGGCAATGATGGGCAGGGGTATCTCGTCCCGTCTGAATGTATAGCACATGCCCCAGTGTGTCTTCACTTTTGGCTGGGGTCTTTAAAAGCTGCTGTAGTGCAAATAAATGGGAATGACATGGTATCCCACAAAAGCATGTTACAGAAATGGTCCCAAAACACTTGCACTTGGAACAAACTCCCTGCTATGTTCTGAGCAATTACTGATGAGTACATTCGCTGGTTGGTAGTAACAATTGCCAAGCCCCGCTCTGTCATAACATTTTTTAAAATATAGCTGAATTGAATTGCATCTGTCCCTGGGAGAGAGGGACACAACACAAGAACAGCATATTGCATGGGAAATGGGACAGAAAGAGAAGACTTTGGCCAAACACGCTACCGCAAAAACACTTCTTCCTGCACACAAGGCTTAAATAGACAAGACTGGCCTTTTTATTTCGAAAAAAGCCCAGAGCCTCGTTCTTCTTCCCGTTCCACTGTATTTGCATCACTTAAGCTTCACTGAGTTCATTACTCATTTCAGATTTATACCAGCACCAAAGAAAAGGGCCAGATCCCCAACCCTGTGCGCCCACACAGAGTAAACTGGCTGGATCTAAGAAGAGTAAAGGATGGACTTACTAGTGTCATGATTTGAACCAGTGAGTCTCCACATCTGAAACTCAAAACTTCTGTGACACCCCTTCTAGACAGAAAATTCCTGGGTCAACATGCAGCCATTAATCTAACTTGCCTATATTTGACTGCTAAATGATGATACTCTGGACTTGTAGGGGACCTTTCAGCTTTTATTATTTCACCAGGTAAACTGGGTAATAGTTCCTCCCACAATAAGTGTATGAACCAAACCCAACACTTGTTACATAAATTAGAATAAGCCTCATTTTACATATGGGGAAACCAGGAAGTTAGAGAGGGGGAGAGACTTGCCCAAGGTCACACAGCAATTAGTTTGCAGCACTGAGGGAAATGAATCCCGAATCCCTATTTGGTGATCCAAGCCCTGGGTCCCATTACTGCTGTTACTGACTCCAACCGCTGGGCCACTCAATCAGCCCATTGAGCCATTACTCTTAAATGCAAACTGGGAAGGAATGAATTGTAAAGCGCCTATCGAAAAATTATCATCAACTATGTTGAAAAGTCCAACTATAACCACCCCACTGGAAGGCGCGAGGTGAAAGAAGTCTGGAGGAATTTCACTGGCTGTCATGACGTTACACCGGATTCTGGCACCTAGCAGTTACTGATTCTTTGTAGTCTAGCAGCAAACAGAAATCTTGGATCTCATTCCCTGTAGCTCAGTAGATTTTTAACTAGGAGTTACGTATAGACTATAAACAGCTATTTGTATTTCAGGTATGATAAAATAGGGGAAGAGCTGAGCTTTCTCTTGTTCAAGGGACCAGTTCTGCAGCTGCTCCATCTGCAGAATTTCTGTCCTTCAGTGGGATTTGGAAGCATACAGTGGGATTTTGACATTGGACCTGGAAACTGCTGTGATAGCGCACACAGTAGATCCCAGCTGACAGTTAGGCATGCTAAACCAGCTCTGGTTTCCAGGAGACTGCATGTGCCCCTAACACTGTACTACAAAGCTCAGCCATTTGCTTGCAATGATCTAAGGAGACGTTGCTCGGGCACACCCTTTTGGGCGAGTCAAATGAAAGACCCTTCGTTCCAGTGACCCCTTGCATTCTTACCGTATCTCAGTGCATTCCTACGTGACACCTGACAAAGGCTCGTTCACTCTTCACCAGGGGCCCGGTATGTCTTTTGTAGAGCTCAAACGTCCTCCGTAGCCCCTCTCCGGCTCTCGTAAGCAAGCCAACAAGAAGGCCCACCAGTACAAGATGGGATGCTGCCTTTTGCAATGTGGCCAGCTGTCTAGACACGGGTCTGACATCCCAGCCGCCCATTTTGCAGAAGCAATTGAAACAGATGACCGCCACTTATAATGACCAGCTTTGGCTGCACTTGGGCAGGCGATTTACAGGAGAGAGGCTACAGAGCCTCACAACACTCCTCTGAGCCGCCCAGTTCTCTCTTCAAGGGTTTGCAGAATCAAGATTTCCACGGCTGAGTTCACAGAAATAGAAGACAAGGCTGGAAGGGAGCTAGCGAGGTCACCTGCCCGTCTTCCCACCCAAGGGGCAAGGCCCCTCTGTACTGCAGGGGAATTGGGATTCAGGGTGCCTGGAAAAAGAAAAGAACTGGAGGGAAATATGGGGGTGCAGACCCAGGTGACGATTTCCCTAAGAGGGCCAGGCTTTCCAGTCTTGTCTAAAAATTCAGAGAATGTAGGCTGGAAGATCATCCGGTCCAAAATTAGCAGGGACCCGAGCGCCTGCATCCCTTAAGTGGCTTTGAAAATCTTAGGGTCCTCCCTTCACACTCGCATAGCAAAATTGGTACCTGGTTTAAAGACTTCTTCTGGGAAACAGCAACCTGTTGGGATCCCTCCCTCCCCCTGCCATAAACCTCCCATTTCTCGGCCTGGGGACTGTTCCATGGTATATCGATGATGTCACCTCTTAGCAGTCGGCTTTTACGTGTATTTTGCCTCTTATTTACATTTTACTGGCTGCGCGTTTGTAATATTTTCAGGGACTGCCATGCCATGCCATGCCAAGCGCTACATGCTACGTTGCAAGTAGAAAGCTCTACTGATTACCTTTCCTTTTTAAAAAGATATATTTCAGGTTTGAGCTAGGTTTGCTTTGGTGTGTATTTTGTACAGCGACTGGCGTTTACGTGGGAGGGGGGTATTTCTGTTACCTGCACCAACCCTATTTTTCACATGTAACTTCTCCTACCTTGTAACAGTTCAGAGATTTTATAGATTTCACAGATTTCTAGGGTCAGAAGGGACCTCAGTAGATCATCGAGTCCAACCTCCTGCCCTGGGCAGGAAAGAGCACCGGAGTCAGGTGTCTCCAGGCTTCGGTTTCATTTGTCTACTACAGCTAGAGAGCGAGCGAGAATCCCGTGTAACAAAGTTTCTCATCTGAAGGCTAAATACAAATCCTAAAGGGCTGTCAAACCTGACAACTGCTGTGCAGGTAAAGGCTGGATAAGCCGAATAGAAACAGTGCTTATTCCCCCCAGCTAGTCTGAGTGATGTGCCAGCGCCTTTTCTATCCACGACGCTGGCATTCATTCACATCGCTCCTCCAGGCTGTCAGTTTGCCAGCAGCGCCGTCTTCCCGGGGCTACCCACCCTGGCACGGCGAGGGAGAGGGCAAGCTGGGTGTCGACACCCGCCGCTTGTCCTTGCGCCCAGGCGCGTCCGCCTAAAAGGCCGTAGCGGGGAGGGGAGGGCCCGGGCGGGCGCAGGTGAGCGGCTGAGGGGAGCGGAGCGCGGCAGGGCCCGGCCGCAGCGCGGATGCGCTGTGACCCTCCCGCCGCCGCGCCTCTTACATAAACG